TGCGTCTCATGAACCACAACTCTGCCGCAACAATTGTTTTTTCCAGCTGTTTATTGATTGTCCATGCTTCGCACCCGTATAATAGTTTTTTTACATCAAGTTTTCATATTATCTGAGGCAGAATTCATCTCATTGCTTTTATAAAATAATCTCACAATAATAGAATATCTGGCTTCGGTATTATATCGTGTCGTTTTGCTTACAGTTTGTGTTAAACATGGTGAACAAAGGTGGCTACATTTGGATAATAATATGATGTAATTTACTCCCATGAGTTGTGTTGGGTTGTTTGTTTTTTTGTTTTTTGTTGTTGTTTTTTTTTGGGGGGGGGGGTGTTTGGGTTTTTTAAACTTTTTGAAAAGGTGTTCTGACTACGTTTCTTATAGTATTGATTTTTTCTTTAAAATACGTTTAAAAAGCGTTTAAAAAAATTCAGATTTGTATTTAGCATTTAATCGAAGTTAAAAGTGTTCCTTTATCTTTGTAGCTATTAAGATTTTCGAAGTTCATACGTGATGCAAAGGTCTACAGACAGTTATAGCTCAAAGGCTGTTGTATTGACGCGAAGGTCTGTCGTAATAATATATTATTCTATTTGATGCTTAGTTCATCATTCTAAAGCAAGACGAAGCTACAGAGGAGTACGGGGTATTTTTAAGAAAATATATTTTAAAGCGCCTTCTGGTCCCAATTTGACAAACTTATCTCCGTGAATGGCGAACACCTAAGGTCTCATCTGAATAAACTTGAAATTCAGCCATCCATGCAGGGAGAATCTCCATTATGTGAACAAACAGTCGTACGTAGAAGAAGTTACCGTCCCAACCCCTTTGTCCTATTAGTTCTTATGTTCCAGAAATTGTTTTCTTTTACTGCATTCATCAGAGACTAAAGAAGAAAAAAACACTTACCATTTTGGGGAGCTAATTTAGCTAACTTTATTATTGACGTTTGGCATAATATTATGATTTATAGACCTAGACAACTCAGCCTAGCTTAAGTACTCTGTGGCATGCGACAATCATTAGAGCAATTACGCAAAACGAGAATACGCTAATGGAGAGGTTATTAATTACAAAGCTGCTGGTCTACTCAGAACGCTATGACATTTCAGTGATTGAAACATCTGGAGGGGTAAGGTAAAGTAGAACAACAGATGGTAAATACTGAAATAGTGGAGAACACGCCGGTGCAGGTTGGTGGAATAAAGGCGAAATCTAGACAGATGAATTGACTAACGGGCACATCAACACAGAGGAGTGGTTTTGGAGAGAGGGTTGGACCATGTGGAAGGAGCAAATTGAATTAGCAGTCCTTTATATTCAAGATGAGGGTCAAAGGAATGAAAAAAGATTTAAAAGAAAACAGCAACAGCAGCAGCAACATGGGGAGGGGGGGGGAGAATATCATATTAAAGTACGAACAGTTGAGGTTTGAAATGCTACTCAACATCGATCAGTTCCCGTGCCCACTCAGGCTATCGCGTTGATGAAGCTATAACTATCGTATTTTGTATACTGAGTATTATCATAAAAACAGTATTGCGACTCCAACAAACATCGCTATCATCCTCTCTGGTCTGTTTACAGAACATAAAGACCATCAGGTATCAGTAATAAGTATCCCGCGCGCACTTGACTTTCGGAGCTCACTTTCCGGTGTTAACTCTCTGAGAGGCGAACATTTTACTGTACAACCACGAAGCGTGTGGGGCAGAGGCGGAGTAGCTTGTAATTGTAGATGTTTTACGCCCCCAATGGCATTAGTGACAGAGACCAAGAGCGCCACACAAGGGAAAAGGCTTTATTATTTATAGATTCTAGTATCCACGAGGCTATTTATTACAGTGCTGTGATCATAATGCGATGTGTCGACGAGTGGTGCACATAAACCAAGGTTATATAACGACGTTAATTGTATTAAATTGAAGGGTAATAGTGTTCATGATTTTAAAGTGCTGTCAGTGACTACGAATGATCCCTCTCTCTTTCTCTTTGCTTTTAAGCTTAACAGAAAGGTGACGTCAGTTAGTTCATTGTTTGTGTGTTTGAAGTTTAAAACACTCTGTTACTCTCTGAAGTCTGCGCCTGCCAGCGACACACCAAGGCGTCATTTGATTTTGTTCACTGTTTTACCAACTTGCTGTTCGGTGGAAGAATCGAAAGAGTTAACCAGCGGCGAGAGTAAGTCGCCGTTCAGCGTTTTCCGTGTGTGTACAATTGTCAAAGGCTGGAGCGGAAAGATACTTTTTCGAAAACATACGAGGAAAAAACTGAGTAGCACGACGGAGATAAAGGAGAAAGGAAAGCAGACGGAAACATGTGAATTGCTGAAACGGAAATTAAGAGTATTATCTTGACAGGACGCAGAACCCAGTCTGTAAACATAATATTTATTTACTTTGCTACTCGGCGCTCTTGCAATGGCAATACCATATCAGGAGACGATATCGGTTACTGATCTCCATTAATTCTGTGTGAAGGGTGTAATAATCTCTTCTTGAAACAATACATTGTTGACAAAAAGTGAGAAAAATACCATTGTGTAATTAAAGTTTGTGTACACGTTAAGGGCGGAGAATTTTAAGAGGGACCCGTCAAGCGATGTCACTCTCTTTTGCTGACAAAAATTGGTAAGTAGACAATTTTAAATATATCACTCGCTCCTTAGTAGATGTTTTACCTGATTTGTTAATCTCGGGATACCGTTGAAATAGGTGACTCTCCTGTTTTAGCATCGTGATAATTTGAAACAAAACAAGCGCAGGAAACAAAGGTGCCACGTTTCCATTAAACAAGATCCTGCGATAAGAATACAAGACCTCTCTCGGTCTAGTGGGAATTTTTGCCCCCTCAAGATATAAGCAAATAAATCACATACATAGTGCTTGGTACTTTAAGGGAGGGGTTATCACCCTGACCTCCATTAAATATTTATAACAACATTAGATTCCAGTCTTCGATCGATTTTGCTTCAATGAGGTTTTGTGCTCTTCCTCAAAATGGCCACTTTTGCGCCCAGTTTTACGATTAACTCAAACTCAACAAGCCACAACACAAATGTTGGGACCAAAACATCGAAGGAACACTTTTCCACTGTGCACATACAAAGCTGGTAAAATGATTATTCATAAAATACAACAGAGTGCAGTGAATACGCATTGCTACATATCACGTCTGAAGCTTCCCTAGTTAGTTCTGTTTAGTTTAGTTTTAGTAGAGGTTTTACGGCGCTCGCAACTGCATAAGGTCATATGAGCGCCAGAAGTTTAGAGGTGTTACAAGAGAGTAACAAACATAAAAAAGAAGGAGGGGAGATAAGGACGATAGATGTTGGATAGGAAAGAAGAAGCAAACCACACCAGAGCACCTGCCAACCACCCACCTAGTTAGTTCACCGCAACTGCCTGATACAATACCG